TTGCAGCTTCGTATTCTATCTTTCTTTCATGTAAACTTTTTATTTCAAATTTTTTTCCTACTTCTACCTTATTTTCTAGTTCATAGCAATTTTCCTACTTCAGGATTTTCATTGGTGATTCTCCGGGTTTTTCTCCTCCTGGCTGAAGCCCCCGGTGATCTCCGCTAGTGTTCCGTTTCCCTTTTCCGGTCTAAACACGCAATATGAACCATCACCTCAACATGAAAAGCATATCATATAGTGGAATGATGACTTGCACCGAGTGTCTTTCTTGGCTTCAGTAAGGTTCTTGGAGAAGAAGTCGACCGGCATCCCGCACAAGAAGCACAACATCAAGTGGAATGGCGATGGACAAAATGAGTCAACGGTGGCTTTAGGTTTGTTCGCCGATGTACCATCACCATCAGGCAGTTGGCCACTTGTCACCCTACGAGGAGTACCTATTGCCTCGACCGACTTCGAAGTACCCTCTGTTACCTCCGTGTTAAATTCTGCATCCAAATAAGCTCGCTCGTTTACTGTTCTTGATCTATTCCTATTATCTTTCATTACCTTTTCTGCGCGCCTACATTCTGTCTTTAATCCTGCCAGATTGTCTGTTTTGGACGCGAACGTCAAATTGGCCAAACAGGGTTTCAAGTTGCCTTTTATGATCCCTACCAACTCCTTCTCGGGTATCTTCTTCCGTAGGCGAAACGTTAAGTCGTGTATTTCTGCGTAGAATTCGTCGAATCCTTCTTGCGCCAATTGTTTACGTTCCATAATTTCCCGTATAATCTCGTAGTCGGACTCCGCGCTTTTGAAGTGGGCTAGCAGTTCCGCCTTCAGCTCAAAGTATCCAAAGCTTGGGTCATCGGCGTGATCTTCTAGCACCTGCCAGAACCACTTCAGCGCGCAGCCCGACACGAGACTATGAAAATCCGTGAATAGTTGGTGATGCGAAATTTGATGCTGCTCCCTCATTCTTTCAACTCGAAAAATAAAGCTTTCTACTGTAAGCCCTTTACTAGTCCCATCAAATTTTTTATGCCACTTCTCTAAGTCAACTTTCTTTCTTGGTGGCTCGCGCATATCATGTCCCCTCATTTCTGAGTCCCTACCGGCTGATCGTTCGTCATCACGTTGATTTGTTTCGCCTCCTTAGTCCCTCTGCTTGTGCGGATATTTCCATTTCGGTTACTGAGGTTCGCAACGTTGGTTCTCATGTGCCGCACTTCATTCATGCACTGTGCCATCATGTTGCTGTTTTGTGCCATCATCGACATTAATTGACTGGTCGACGTGCGGGAGGGTTCACTCCTTTGAGCCTTTGAACCTCCAGCTTCCGAGCCTCCTGGTTGGTCGCTCTCCACAGGGTCACTGTTGCCCACAGCACCTACCTTACTTGGCTGAGACATATCACCCAAAAGGTCTAATTTTTGCGAGAAACTTAAGCTATCACTGGGTTCTTGGACTAGTGATTCGTTCGCACTGCCCGCAATCGGCGGATATTCGGAATTTGATATACCTTCTAGCTGCACACCTATTAAAATAATCGGTCGGGACAAAGTCTACCGTGTGTTGTACTCCCGTATCTATCTGGTTAAAAAGTGAGCCAACTACCTGATTTTCAAGCGCACGGGCAAGACTACGCGTGACTGGCCTATACGAGTTCAAAATCCCCAAACCACCAATGACTCTATTCTCGCTATTATTCTCAGACATTCACACAAACGGTCCCTGCCTTTCAAGCACACGTTGGTATCGCGGTAAATAAAATTCAAATTCAATTCGAAATTCAAAAATCTGTTTAAATTAATTCAAAAACGCAAAAAATTAACACAATTCCGTAAGCCGAAGAGATCGCAACACCAAAAAAATAAATAGAAAACAAATCCCCCAAAATTCAAAGTAAGAAAAAGGATATTCGAAAATCAACAAAATCAAGCCAAATCCCCAAATAACTTCAATGCAAACCGAGGATTACTTCTGAGTGATGTATGAGAATGGATATAATAATAAAAAAAATATGAGTAAATAATATATGCATGTATAGATATGTGCAAGCATATATATATATATATATATACATATATGGAAATATAGGGTTAATAAAAAAGCAATAAAAAATATGTAATTCAAGTTAATATGTGTGTAGATACATAAAAAAATATATAAAAATACTTCACTTTTCTTGTTGTTTGTTTACTATGGTTATTCACTTTATTGTTGCTCGTTTTTATGTTTATATAAATAGTTGCGTTCCAGGTGCTTCACGA